AGTGTGTGTATTGTCAGCTTCTGCAGGAGGCCTCTCTCTGGATTCTGCATCTCCAGGTAGCCTGATAGTCTGATGTCGTTTACCACTGTCTCCACGGCAAACTGCGGTACTTGTGAACCATTTCAAAGGGTAAACGAGAGAGCTGTCCTGGGTTGCTCATTTATTTTTTTTTTTTTTCCCCGCTAATAGTCACGGATAAGTGCTTACTGAAGACATTACAGCCTCTTCCTGTGCTGAGAGAAACCAAGTGACCTTTCTCCAGCTCCCTTCTTCCTTTTTTGTTCAGCTTCCTATTTGCTTTGTCTCCCCACTCTCTGCCTCCCTCTCAGCAGCTGCTGGTTTTCAGCAGCAGTCAGGTGAGTCTGGAAGGTGGACAGGGACCTTCAGGATTGATTTTTAAAGTCCTAGAATAAGAGTGAAAAAGGAAAGGGAGTTGGAGAAAGGAATCATTCTTGGTTTGGGGAAAAAAAAAAAGATCAAGAAGTTGTCTTTCTTATTTATTTGTCAGTGGCATGATAGCATTTCATACTCAAGGTGAGTAAAGTGAATTTTGGGGTCTAATTTCATGTGAAAGCTCTCCAGCACTAGTCCAGGACTCACTGTCCTGACTGCAGATGCTTCAGAGAATTTTATATTATCTCTTTCAAATTCCTATAAAAATCCTGAGGAGGAACTGATGTCCAGCATCTGCTACGCTGTGGCTTATGGCACAGGATCTGCGTGTGTGTGTATTAAAAGAAGCTCTAGTCAACTTGTGTTGGATGGAGAAGCCTTGTGTGCAAGGTGCAGTCGGTGGCAGAGATGTGAATTCATAGCCAAGCTGGCCAGAAACGTTCCGTAGCTCAGTGGGACAGATGCTAGCTGCCTCGTGCCTCAGTTTCCCTATCGGTAGAGCAATGCTGATACTTATTTTTGCCCCTGGGAGCACTGATAGGAATATTCAGTGCATGGAAGGATTTGCAGAAAAGCAGATTCTTGTTTACCCCGTGCACTAGCCCTGCTATAACCTCCTGTGGTTTCTGCGGGAGCAGCAGGAGGATTTTCCTGTTTGGAGCAAACTCATTGCTTAAGGATATAGCTGAGGTAAATAGTTCAGTGTGATTCAAGGAAGAGTTAGGTACAACTCGGGCCACGACCAGTCAAGCCGCTTCGTGTGGGCCAGGATAAAATGTCAGGGGCTGTTATGCATCAGGATGGGAGGCAGATTCCAGCAGATGGAAGGCATCTGGGAGCACGGATGTGCAGGCGGGAATGGAAGCAGGCAGGGCTGGCTGCTGTGGGGACGACAGGCGCGAAGGGAGGCTCGGTCAGTGTGGGGTGCGCCGTCCTGTGTCCCCCACAGAGGATTCTGCTCACCGTTCCGGAATCTCAGGAGTTTAATGCCTTCTTTTGCTTCTTTTCAGGGTCCAAGATTCGACGTCTGCTGCTTCTGCCCCCAATGCTGCTTCTGCCCCCACTGCCACCCCTTCTTCTCCTGCTGCCCCATCTCAGCCTTCCACATCCAGCAGCGCCGTTTCTGACGCAGGGAGCGGCAGCAGACGGAGCAGTGGGTCAGGGACCATGGGAGGTCCTGGAGATGGAGGCCCTAACAGTGCTACATCCATCCTGTGTAAGTGACGGCTGTGAGGAGGTGTGACATGAAAGAAGGATTTCTTAGGATTAGACCAAGGAGTTGGGGTTTTTGACCCCTGTGGTTGTCTCTGCTTGCTGTGGGCTTTGCATGAGCTGCTTCCTCCAGCGTAGCTCGGTTTCCCTGCTCAGTATAATGCC